TGAGAAAGACAACTCCTTTCTGGTAATACTTGTTAAAAGGCTATGCCTTGCTGTCTGAAGTCTGGGAGTTATTTGTTGTGTCTATCCAAGCACAGTGGTATTTACAGGCCTGTGTTATTCCTTATTAAAACTGCACAGAACGTAATTTGCCTCCTTAGTTGTCAAGCACAAGACATGCCAACACATACTGCTGACAGCATGGCAAAAACGCCTACGTATCCCAAACAGAAGGAAGCAGATCCTTTTCAGAGTACACAGTCTCAAAACTAAGCAGAAGAATGACTTCTACTGAAGTATAAAGCACGAATCTCCCACCAAGACACAGGCTTAACATTCCTCTGAGGAAATGATCAGAGTACCTCTTAAACAAACCGTTCAAAAATGGCACAGTTCCACAGATTCCATGGTGGCAGTTTATCTGTACAACTCTTATAGGAGACTTGTTGTTTGTACTCTTGCATACAATTCAGCCAGATCACAATACCATTAGTTAGCAATAACCACTTCAGCCTGAAAAATCATCAGTAAACATCAAAAAATAACACAAATAGAACATAAGAAACCTCCTAAGCTTGAAATGTGCTCTCTGTCAGTCCCATTTGGATAAGGAATTCCTGACTTGCTGTAGGCGTTCCCCTCTTGCTGCCTTCCAGCAGCTCCCCTCCTCCTTTAACCTCTCAGAGTCTGTGCAAAGGGAAGGGGAAGCAAAGCTAGATTTAACTTTCTATATACCGATGACCAGGTAACGTATACTGTACTTTACAAATAGCTGACCTCAAATTTAGCAGAGAATTGTAATTTCACTCTGAAGTACAGAAAAACGCAAATCCAACATTGCATGTGAAGGACTGTTAAGTAACACATTCAGATAATGCCTGGAAGCACATTAATCTGTAGAGTGAGCTGTGCATTAGTAAACAGAAGAGTGGCTGGCACCAGAAGCCTCTGATGTAATAAAGTTGTAACCATTCATAACAGACAGTAAAAGAAAGGTGAAAACTGAAGTGATGAATACCTTTGATGGTGCAAATCATTCATATTAGCAAACTCTATGTTTTCTGGATAAAACTGGAGATTCTCAGAGATCATCTCTGAAACTACAGAAAAACGCTGAATAAGGCCTTCTAAACAGACTGCTCTTGAGAGCAAAAACCTGGGGTTTAGGAGTGAAAAACCCTGTAGAGAGCATCTGTACTTGGCAGACACTGTGACCTGACCAGGCCCAGTACAGGACATTCTTATTTCATCTCTTAGTGTCTTTATGAAAATGACTTTTCCATTTCTCAAACTGCATTCCAGCACACACATCTGGCAGTGCACTGCAGTGTGAACAGCATTTACTAGCTCTCAGTGCATATGTTATGCATCCAATGACATCATGCGCTGTTCAGCTTGCCAAAGCTCAGTCTCTACTGCACAGACCACCAGAACAGAGCCTCAGAATCTCCATGGGGAAAAAGGGCTAGCTTCCAATACAAAAGGTTGTCCCCTTGCAAAACCTTATTTAATGCTTTGTTTGTTGTATTGTGTTCTCTCCTACTCGTACCTATTCTACTTCCCATCTATTCAAAAAGAAATTTCACATCATTCCTAAATTGCTTATATTATATCCTGCCTGTAGACATTTTCTCTTTGCAGAAGGCCATAACTTCTCTGAACACAACATGCCTTTCTCCTTTTATTCAATGTGAGTTTTTAACTCTTCATCCACCTGAAAACTGGGAAATCTGTATTTCTCCCCAATAAAGCTTTAGACGTTTTTCATTGCGATAGGTAACAGTAGGTGATGCAGTACAGATTTATTGTTCTCTGAAGATGAGATCAATGGCTCATCTTGTGTGATATTCATTACTTATTGTCTCAGCAGTAAGGAATCTCTCTAGCCCATTTAAAATAGTTTTTACCTTGTAAGGCAAATCAGAAGAAAAATAGTTCTGGTTGCTGTAAAATGTTTGTGTTCAGTCATAACCAAATCTTTCAAAACCTTTTAAAGAAAAGTATATGTATGTCTACAACAAAGGACCTAATTAGCCCAAAGACTTATCACCTGTAATGTCAGGAGCCCTGAAGACAAGAACTGCTGCTGAGTTAGACCCAAGGTCTGTCCATCCTAGTACCTTATCTGACAGTGGTGACTCAAGGATGCTTATGAATCAAAGCAAGTATAAAGCTATCTTTTGCAACACACTCATCCAGATCCTGGCAACACAGTATTTTTGAGACTTCCTAAAATACATTTGGACAATTATGTGTCATGTTTCTTCAATAGCCCTCTCAGCTATTAAATAAAGAGCGGAATCCAAATACTTCTGCAGGCTGCTACAATATCCTATGCTATCCACCACATAATTAAGATGTGTGTGGATAAGCCACTGTATTTCTCACACACAAAGCAAAAGTTAACCACAGAACTCATATTCACCCATTACATCAGCTGTCATATATGGGTAAAACCAAGCAAAATTTTCTTCTCTTTGCTACGTCTGCTATCCTGACTTTGAACCCTCATTGTCTCCTTCACTAATGTGCTGTCCTCTAGCCTCTCACTTTGAATAGGTTATCAGAGGAATATATGTAATACTACGATAATTAGATTTGTTTGTTTTAACCTATTCCTTAATAATTTCATTAGGTGCCCTACCTTTCTTGTATCATGAAAACCCCTAACCAACCATTTCCTATTTTCATTCTTTACACATTGATGATTCTATATAACTTTATCAGATTATCTGTTACCTTAAAATACAGCCTGAGTAAAAGTACCCTATTTTATCTATACAGCCTGCAAGCATTTTCACCTTTTAGCTGCTTTTTAAATCACCTGTTCATAAGTCTTCTCATGTTGATGCTGTTTTCTTTTTTACAGTTGACCACTGCAGCAATCAATTTTTGTTTATTCTAGCTAGAAGGATTCTGAATTCAATTACTATTACTCATTAATAGCCACATCTTGAATACATTCCTGTACACTGCTTAGTTTCCAGATTTTGTTCTTTTAACCCTTATTTCCTGCTTTTCAATCAGACACCATCATTGAATACAGTAGAGAAACTATAAAAAAAAAAACCTTCAATTTATTCCTTCATTATTTTTAAACTACAACATAGGATGAGAATTTATTGAATTTAAAGGATTCAGAACACATTGAAAAATAGCTTCAAGCTCAGTAAACAGTCCATCACAGCCAAAAACAGAGAGGCAACTGGTAATTACTTTGCTAGGAAGAGGAAGATGTACGTTAGCAGCACCTGACACTGGGAAATATCTGTTTTCCTACTTCACCATTTCCATTGTGTTTGAAGAGTTCCCTGAACAATAACATATCCTCAGGACTTGCAGTACAAGCTAGCAAATCACTTACTGTCTAAAGTATACATATTCCAGTGCACAGAAATTGTATGCAATGTATTGCTTCGGAAGTTTGTGCTTTGGTCTCATAACTCACAAGACCAAGATCACTTAAAGTAATTCATAGTTATTTTTCACTTGTGTTTCCTCTATTTTACTTCATTTAATTTCTGTACGCATTGTGTGAACACATACACGTATACATATTTTGTCCTTCAGACACAGACACACACATATGCATATTTTTGCACCTTTTCCAATCTTGTTGCAAAAGAAAGAGGAAAAGCACATATCAAAAGACAATTCTAATTATTGTGCTATTTTATAAGGCTCCCTGAAAACTTTAAGCAAGAGCATATATACACACTAGCTTACGTCATCAGACACTGCCTTTTTCGTAAGGTGCTCGTTTCCTATTCCAGAAACACACCATGCATGACCTCATTCAGACAATGAGGAGGATAAATCCCATGACTATATCAAGGAATGGAGTTTTGGCTTTCAAGTCTGTTAGAGCTCTCAAATTGTCTGAGAGAAGTCAATAGTCACCATGGTCTAGACTGTTGTGAAATGAAGATAGCAGCTCTAGGTAACTGAGGGAAGATGGGCATCAGACAAATTTTTGGAAAGAGCAGTGTCCTAATAACAGCACCTGAACAAAGCTAAGGCAAAGATAAGACTGAAGGACAAAACCACTTGCCTGAATGAGCCCTTAAGCCCTACAAAGGCAGAACATAGGACTGCACTTCAATGCTCAGGCAAGGAATGCTACCCTGATTTTCTCTTCCTCTCAGGTAAGTGGAAGAAACTAGCAGGGACTTTACTACTTGTGGGACACTGAGTTGCCAGGGTAGCAACAGAGGCAATACGGACCACCTCTAACTGTTTTACTAGCTGTATCTCTCATGTTAATACTTTTCAGTAATTAAAATCTGACAGCAATTTCAGACCATGAGTGATCTGTTTGTCTGTCTCTCTATACACATAACATCTCTTATGACTGTAAAAATTCTGCAGCTTACCAAAGCTGTCTCTTTCCTTCATCTCCTTTTATCAGTCCCCCAAAAAGTCAGTAAAAGGAAATACATATGCAGATACTTTAACTGGTAACAAAATAACAGGAGATAAGCACGGTTCTAAGACTTCATTGCAATAAATCCTCTAATAGAGACAAAAACACCATTTCCAGGTCTGAATCCACTCAAATAGGCTTCATTGTCAATTCTAAAGCAATTCAAAGGTGGAGAAAAATTGCAACAGATTCAGGTTTCAAAATGAAGAATTCAGTTTTCCTCTTATGCAAAATATTTCAATGTGCAACACAGCCAACTCATCAGTCATGGGTCTCTCAAAGGTTACCCACAGAGATATAACAAAAGCTAGAAGCTAGATGTATCAAACATTAACAAGCATGTTGGCTCAAAACAACAGCAGTCCATTTGCTGGCCAAAGTGTTTCCAGATATCTAATGTTCCTAATCCTAATGTTCCAAGGGAAAAAAAAAAATGAAGGTATTTTCATGATTTAAGTCACTGAAAACAGCAACTTTCTTCCTATTTCCTATCCTAAGAAAAGGCTACCAAGTTTCAATTGCTGCATTTGGCAGCAGGTAATTGTACTAATTAGTCACTGTGCCTTCAGTTACTGATGGTTCTTTTAGCATTCAATTAAGGGAGTCAACTACAGAAACACAATTAATGCCAACAATTCTGGGGTAGATAATTCTGGCTAGAATAGAAACAGAACTCATTTAAGATCAATCAGTTAAGTCAGATGATTCCAGATCAGTTGGGTCTAACGAAATACAAGTTAGTGAGAGAACAGACACGCAGTTTAAGAGCAATCTGCATATAGCTTTAAGTATTCCTGAAAGACTGTGGGATTAACATTAATTCTTGGAAAAACAATGGAACAAAAGATCTTACAAATCATCTGTAAGGGTAAGTGAAACAACATGACAAGCTTAACCAATAGCCAGCAACTGTTTTTGTTATCCCAAACAAATCTCAAACTAAACTATTCTCTTCTTTTAACATGGTAACGGCATTGTGGATAAGAAAGATACAGTAGCTATTGCACTTTGGTTATATTAAGGCTTTTTAACAATACTGTGTATGCATCAAACATAAGAGAAACATGGTTAAACAGTACAGTGAAACGAAATTTGGTAATGTACAGGCAGAGACGGTTATCCAGAAACACTTCACTGTTGGACTGAAAATAAGTACGTGAGAAGTGCAGAGGTTTACACTAGATCAGCAACCAATCAGTACATACTCAAGAAGCTTGCACAATAAATTGGAGAGTAATTTTATTAGTTTGTAAAAGTTGACAAGCTAGGTGAAACTAAAAGCACTATCACAGACAAAGTCAACTATAAAAAGTTGACCTTTTGACAAAGTCAAAATAGAGGATACTTTTAACGAAATGATAAAATGCTATTAAAAAGGATCTATGAAGTTTAATAAAAGATAAAGTTTCTGTGAAGAAAAAATATGTAAATAAAACCAAAAACAAAGAACAGCTGATTCGGCAGCAGTTTAAATTAAAAAAAAATGAAAATACAGTAGATTAATCAGTAATATTATGATATTATAGCAAAACAGGCAAATAGGATGCATTTACATAGGAGAAAAATAAAACTGAAGACATGGAGCAACTATTCCAGTCCACCAAGCAGTAGGGAGTCTACTGGCTACAGTAATTAATCTAGTTTCATTCAGTTAAAACAGACCTGAGAGAAGATTAATACCAAAACCAAAAACATGTGCTTTTAAGAAACATAACATAAAAAGATCATCATTTAGAATATAATGTTACAAAAAAGCAAAAATATTTGAAAACATTTCTGAAATTGACTTCAAGAGGCCATCAAGAGGCCATCTGTTTAATCCTATTAAACAACAGGCTAGTCACCAAGGGCTGAATTGTATTTGACAGAAGTTCATTTAATCTGTTCTTAAAAATCTTACTTGGTTATAGGCCATCATCCCTGCTTCCTCCAAAATTTCTTGTTGATAGGAAAACATACCGTGCTGGAGCTCTTCTACCAACTGCTGCACTCCAAGTGGGATATCCCTAGGCACCAAATCATGCCACGTACTGATGAATATCCACAGTAACATTAAGAAATAGTAAGTGGTTTCTTTGGATTTTTTGGAAAACAACAAAACATTCAAAAACAAAAACAAGTCATTGGAACTAATTTCCACAAACTTGTAATAACTACTTTAAACAGATTCCACACTATCCACTGTAACTTCTTGTAATTTAGTCTGACATACTGATTCACCTTGTGAAGTTCTTTTTTACCTACTATTATGCCACATAAAGGACGATTTTTTTAGCATCTTTTCAGTGATGATCAATATGTAAACTACATTGTTTTCTTTGTATTCATAAAGACTAAGATACATTATTTATTTGTAACTATGTAGCAATTCCACGTTCATGCGTATGTTTTATTTATACTACTTCTCTGACCAGAAAAATCTCAAGTATTTTTTTTTGTCACATATGACATTCTAGTCATTATTTATTTTCTATTTTGCTTTTAGAAGGGAAAGCAGCACACCAGACAGAGAGATTCCCAACTGTAAAGTAAAAGGCCCTAGAAATATCAGCTTTAAGAGAGACTGGAAGAAGGAAGAGATCCTAAGGGTTAACCTTACACTCCTGAACTTGCTATTAGAAGTATTGTTTGTTTTAACAGAGCATCAGGGATTTCTGAGTATTTCTGGACCTTCCTCACTTGTACCAGCACTTCAAGGAAGAAAAATAGTATGCAAGTGTAAGAGGAACAGAATTTGTCTTCCTGAATGTTAGCTCTGTAACTGTTTTCATTGCAAGTTACTCTTCACAAGTCTCAAACCATCAGTAGAAGAAAAGCTATTTGGTGATCTTAGAGCTGTAGCACTAAACATGTTTAATTAGAATGCATTACAGCAACTCAGGATTGAGACATAACACTACATGATTAATTCACCTACTGAAATGGCTACAACAAAACAGAGGGAGCTAGCAAGGCCACCCTGTAAGAGCTGTGTCAGCCCACTTCCCTCCACATTGTCTAAAGAGGTATTCTCCTTCACTATATGCTTGAATCACTCACAAGTCTTGACTATCACTGTGACAGCTGTGGATGGTGTACATACCAGATCAACAGACATCAATCTTAATTCATCATATTCTCTATTAGCAATTATCCTTTTCATTTCAAAATCAAGACCAGTTTTATTTACATATTTATCTTTCAAAATTCTGTCAACATTCTGAGTACTACTAATCATTCACCATCAACTACTATCCGGTTATGTAGAAACCAGAATATTCACGGAATCCATATTTTCCAGCTAAGCTTACAATATTGTCCAGTCAAACTCACTCAAAAAATATCTACATTAATCCTTCGAAATTCATCATCTGGTTCCCCCAGTTCAGTCACAATTATAACAATGAAAATAACAATAACAACAAAGAAAAAAAAAGTAGAGTTGAAAATATATTTCCTTGGTTTTTACTCTTCTGAATATAAGGAAGAGAGATTTGACAACAGAAAGATACCTTAAGCATGTTCGGAAGGAAGACTGAAGATTAACCCATAGCTGCCTAAAGCTTATTGGAGTTATCCTGAAAGCTCTCTGTAGTTTTAAGATGCCTAAAATGCCTCTAACTAGAGGAACCATGAAACACTAGACTCCGGGATGTACCACCCATATGCTCCTCAGTTGCTACAGCCAGCAAACTGTGTACTGAATGCATGAGTCTCAGCCCAGTCAGGCAATCAAATTTGACAATTTCAATTATAAAACCTCCTACATATCTTAAGACCAATACCTTGTTCCAAAAAGTGTGCACTTCCTGCAGAAGCAAAGCAGCTATGCTACACATTTGCTTTTGGTATTACATGTTATGGTAAGAGGGGAATTTAGACTTGAAATTCATAGAGAACTGAGTTTCGCAGTGGTGTGAACAACAGAATTTTCATAATAGCCTTCCAATGGTTTCCAGTACTTAACTTGCCTGCAACATGTGGTAGAGGCCTCTTTGCTGGCTATTAAACTTGTTATGCGTGCAGTATAGGCATTGTTGGAATGTAAATAGCTCTCACATGGTAATGTTATTTCCGATACAGTCCTGTCTATACTGCTTATTATTATTGAAAAGAACTACTAAACCCTACTTAGGTTCCTCAGCATCTGCCAAAAAGCTGCAAGCCACACCAGCTCCAACCCAACTCTTCCATTTGTAACACATCTAATGAGCAGATGGTTAATTTTTTTAATTTTTTTTTTTTTGGCTGTGTGTGTGTGTGTGAAAAAAAGCAAGTTTTTTTTAGGGGAAGTGACTGCGAGGGTGCCTTGTTTTTTAAAAGTCAATTGTTTTGCATATCTGTTCAACTTCTTAACTGTAAATTTAGCTTTCTGTATGTTACTGGAGAAATATATCCTGTAATTGTTTGCAAGCAAAATAAAAATCTATTCGATACTGTTCAAGTTTTAGATGCTTAGCTGTTTGGGAAATACTCCAAAACTAACAAAATTTTCTTGCATCTGGTTCCTGCATAATGCTGGTGTTAAAGTCCTTGTACCTCTCGAACACAAAGAGTATGTGTTTTTCCATCTTTATCATTGCCACCTGATTAAAAGATAGTAGATGAAGTTTCCACACAACTCTAAATACCTCATCTACAGAGTGAGCTTCTCAAACAGTCTTGCACTGAACCTGAAAGCTACACAATATTTCAGGTATGCTGCTGTTCACTTCTATAGTTTCTCCTGGAAGAAGAAACAGGGCTTAACAAGCGTGTGTTCCCAATCATAATTTGTTCTCCATTCAGCTGAAGAGGCTGGATCTTCATTCAGGTATTGAGTAACTGGAGTATTTGCCAAAAGGAATGAACTAAGTAGCAAAATTACTACATGTGCCATTAGGGTTTTGTAGCCATACTTAAATGTTTGCATAGGCACCTGAAATAAGCCATAAACAGCTTCTTCTATCATGATAAAAAGCAAAACAAACTAAGCAGGTGCCCTACAGAGGTCTCAGAATACAGAATATCAGCTAGCTCACCACACTCACCTTACTGGAAAAAATGTCTTATTTTCTCAAATTACTAAACATAGATTTGTGAATCTGCTACACAGAAGTTGCTTCTTTCTGTTCTGCAGTGTAATTTTACAAAACATTAATTCAAATAACTTAGTTGTTTTTTTTTTAATTTTAAATTTTCCTATTTTATCAAGCACAAAGCGCAAAACAATGAGCAACGTATTTATAAATGCTTTAAAATGTTTATAGCTCCAGAAATGACTTATCACTGTAATTAATAGTCTCAAGCATTCTGAAAAGTAATTTTTATTGTTGTCGATTTAGTGTGGTGTGGGTGAGAGAGACAAGACGGGGGGGGTGGAGAGGGAGAGTGTTTAGGAGGAGAAATTGTGTGAGACTAAGAGACAATGGATGTTTCTGAGCCAGAACTGGCTTGCTGTTTTGGACCATTAGCTCTGATGCTTGCTACTCCTCTCTAGACAAGCTTCAGAATCAGTACCATTCTTCAAAGTATACCAAGTGTGAGAAAAAGCAGAATAAATGTGGGAGTGAATGAAATCATACAGGCAACTGAATTCTTTTTTATTCTTTGAAACATTAGTTTAGACTCCCTAAAAAGTTATGTTTACTATACACACTCCTCTCATTCACATTCCTTTTCTGCTGCATTCCCCATTCTGTTACAGCTTTCCAAAGCTTTAATGAGTGTACATTGCAATACCAAGCATTTCCCTCTGCAGTTAAGTGCGCATATTTTCTGCTCTCTGAGATTCAGTGCTATAGCTGTCCTCTTCCAAACAGTCACGAAATCTATTATGTCTAGGCACTTCTACACTGCAACCAAATCCAAGAAGCCAGCATTTTTTTATTTAGCATGCATTTGCTAAAATCATGAAAAATATACTCCCTGAAATACAGTTGCATGTATTTCAAATCTGCCACACACATGATAAAATATAATTTCCTTGAACGCATTGGTAGCAAACTTAACAACCAAATGCATCAACGTAAAATAAATACCAACATGTGGCACATCTGCATTCTCCAGAGTCCAATTATTAGTCCACATTCCTAGCAAAAATTTAAAGCAGTAAGAGGCCTTGAAGCTTGACATACATGCCCAAAAGCATGGGAGAGGACTCAGGGAAACTGTCATTCAAATAAATTCCAATGAGTGATACAAACCTCCAATTGCACTGTGGCTCACTGCTGGAGAACTGTTGAAGGCAAAAACAAGATGTCCAAGCAATGAAAAATTAAAGGATCAAGAAGCTTATCTGTACTGTTATGTGATAACTTAAGAAGGCTAAATGTTACTTTTACAACAAAATCACAGGATTTCACCCTTACTCTTTCCCCACCTGCCTGTAATGTAACATTAAGAGTATCAGAAAAATTAAACTTCTCCCTCTCCAAAAAGGAGAGGGGGATAAAAAAAGTGCTTTCTTACAGTTTTCTAGTTGTTAAGATTGGACTTTTGCCCAGTAAAAACACAGGCTCTGATTAAAATCTTCTTGAACCAAAAGTATCACAAATATTATTTCTCTGTAAGACAGTGCTTCATGAGGAAGAATGGAATCTACAGAGTGGTCCAGTAAGTTGTGACTGCAGGTGGTACACTACACACAAGGGGGCAACAGAACTGCTGCATCTGAACAAAACAGTGATCCACGGTACTTTGTCACCAGCAGCAAATAGCATTCTGGTGGGGAAAATGTGAACACTCCCAAATACTTTCCAGTTTAAAATACCAATCCACAAAAAGATATGAAACTGTCTTGTGACAAGTTTGTGGATATGGCAGGACCAGTGATGTGCTTTTTTTTTTTTTTAATAGCCAAAAACTCAGATGCCATACTAATTTTAATTCTTATCATTTGTCTGTCTCCTACAAGATGTAGCAATATTTCAAACATATGTTTAAACTTTTAAAAAAAAAATCTTATTTTTTGTAAAACCTTGTTTATTTTAGCACTAGAAACCTGTAATCTGGAAAAATTTAAACATACAATGCAATTTTTGCATTGTTTTCAATCCCATTCTTTCACAGGCTTTAAATGCAAATTCCACACTGCAAATTCCAGTACTTCTTAAGTCAGTGCAGGCCACTTTACCATTTGAAATCTCGATGTAAATACACCATGTGATTTTAGAAAAATTGCAGGCTTAGTACACATTGTGACTAATGAGTTTTAGATCCTATTTTCAAGGCCTGCCAGAAGCTAGCTGGATGACCTAAAGCAAATCTCAGTCTCTCCATCCATAAAATGAGAGCAGTGATACCTAGCTTTAAAATTTCCTTGCCATTTCCTAACAAAATTATATTTATTTCATTAACAACTTCAGGTAATGGCAAGCCGTCTTTTCAAAGCTCACAAAGCATGCACTGACTAAACATAGTCAGCTTTGTTTGTTTTCCAGTTCTTAACCATCCAGCTAAAATAAATAAATAAATAAACATAAACTATGAGAAATTGTCCAGAATTTCTGTCCTGAAGTATTCCAGAAGTCCAACTGAGTAACGTAGAGAGGACCCCTGATGATACTCTGTCCAATTCACGGGGGAGCTGTCCAGCAAAACACAATCTGAAAGTTACCATGATAACAGAAATAAAACCAAGATTGTGCTAGGGTTTGGTTTTGTTTTTTTCTCCCCACACACTTCTTAGAAAAATTACTGTACTTATTTCTACTGAGTGTTATGGTTCCACGGGACAACTGGGCTCACAAATTATGGTAAGTTCTTGAGAAGTCCATCAGTGATGAAAATACAACAGCTCAGATGAAACCTCCAGGTCAGAAAGCCCCTGAATCTCTTTGACAGCCATTGGGTAGCAATGTTTGCTAGGAAAAGGCTCACCCAGCACATCCTGCTTCCTTAAGTGTCTCATATTGGGCAGTATTTAAGCACGATATTCCACTATGTGGACCTTCAGTCTGATCCCACATGTCAATTCTTACAGAAGAAGAGTTGACATTCATCATCTATTAGCTTTACCTGAATAAAACAGAGCGTTCAAAGAGACAAAAGCAGTCTTTTTCCATCCCTCACTAACCACCCTCATTAGTTCCCTTTGAAAAGCTGCTCATGTTATTAACAGAATTTTGGGGGGAGGGAGGGGAAGAGGAGGTTGTTTGTTTTAAAACAAAAATAAAAACAGAAGATAAAGTAAATCCTATAAAGAATTTAGACTGAACTGATGGCAGCATTGGCAGTCATGTTCTGAATGTTCTCAGCAGGATTTTAAAAATACCTCTGATAGATCTGCCTAGTCTTCCTATGATCTTATAAGGCCTACTCTCTCTAAATCAGAATAATCATGAAGGACTGCTTTTGAAGCAGACAAGCTCTGTGTGCTACGAAAGTAAAATCTGTACTGTTTGTCTTCTACTTCGTTTTATAACGTCATTTTGAGAGGGAAAGACACAGCCTAACTTTGGCTACACAACAAGCAGCAGCACAAGCAAGGTCAATAATGAAAGCCGAGAGTATTCAGTAAATTGAAATGTATTAAGAACTTAATGCCATGCAACAATTTTACATGAAAAGATACAGCTATAAACAGCCACTGAAGAGATATTAACATCAGCAGAAAAATGCATGTGCAGAAGTATCAGAGAAAACAGCAGAACAAGGGTTAAAAGAGTAACAGATTAATAAGGAAGAACACTATCTTGTCACTTCTAGCAGTAACGTGGAGGAATGCAGTACGTCATGACCACAAGGTCTATACTCTGACCAGACCACAGCACAGATCAACCCAAGACCCTGCACTCTAACAACTTGAGAGTAACAACAAATTTGCAGTACATCACAGATGCCATTCCTTCTCTTAATGGCCCACCTGGAAATCGGACACGCATTTCAAACCCAGAAACCAGACAATGAAAAGCAATTTTGCCTAGGGTTTATGGAAAATGAAGCAATATGAGTTTGAAGCAAAGGAACACCCCGTAACAACTATTGAGAGGAACCCAAGGAACATAGTAAGGACCTGACAACCAGCATCTTTTATCCTCCCTCTTGCACAGAACTGATGCTGGACAGACTACTTGTATACGTGTGTTTTAATGCTTGTGAGTATGTGGGTTTAAAAAAAATCTCTTTTAAACATTTTATATACTTCACATTCCCATCTGTTAGATATCGCATTGCTTTTGACATTTTGTTTGTGGAGGAAAAAGCCTGCGAGCAGGCCACCGTGACTAAAATACAAGCTACGTAACCCAAGGCAGAAATGAAATCTATTTTGCTCTGAATGATGGAAAATTATGCATTATTTAATGCAGTGTTTCAGCAAGGTTCCTTTCCATTTCCCATATGAGATGAGGTTCTATTA